AACATTATTGGAAGGATAATCAGATGTGTCAAATAGTTGTAAATCTTTTTTTATGTAATCATAGATATTTGAAACATTGAAATGGTAAATTAAACTATCTGTATCTGTATATAACAATTTTGATTTAGTACCAAATTCTTTTTTCACGTAATTATAATAAAAATTATAAAGATATAATTTTGAGATATCTAGAATAGAAAACCCTACATATATGGGTTTATTTAACTTAATTTGCAAACGACTCATTTCTATAATTACTAAATTTTCATTGAATATAATACATCTATGAAAGTTTGGTTTTGCAATTAGTGCTTTAGCACCATATCGACCTTCCCATTTTGTAACTATTCGAACATCTTTATGATTTCTAACGTTTTCCATAGTTTTTCCAAAAACGGAATTATTCATTAATTTGTAAAAATTCTTTTTAAAATCATTTGTAGAATTTTTTCTAAACTCTGTATTTAATTCAATATATGGTCTGAGCCATGGAGATTGTTTGAATTTTAAAATTCTATGTATTTTGAGCAATTTTATACCAAATTGCAAATAATATTTTAAATTTTTGTAATGCAGAATATACTTTTTTAGGCAATAAATTTGTTATCAATTTGGGTAATTTAGATTCTCCACAAGGGGGTACAAAATGCTCTGGGCATAAAGGAAGATCTTTATGCAATTCATGTAATTTTTCGGGATATTCCAAATCTACTTCTAAAATATAACCAGTACAGGAATCATTTGGAATATCCAAGACATTAAAATTATTAAGATTAGTTTCCCACTGAAATTCAGAATGAGGTAAGTATTCACTCATAGCTGTTCCATATAAATTATTAATATCAAAGTACATGATGTACGATTCTTCTTTATTTTCATTAAATTCATGTTCCATGTATTTATTATTTGCTTTTGCATATCTATTGGAACATTGTGAAATACCACCTCGGATTCCTCTTTCAATAAATAGAATCATGTCTATGTCTGTTAATAATTCTAATTTAACATTTGTCAATTTTAACATTGCATCGAATGAAAGTCTAAGTGCTGTGAAATAATGCAATGGGTCTAAATTGTAAGCTGATAAACAAGTAAATCTAAAATTTTCAAATATATCAGCTAAAAGCAATACATCATTTTTTAAATATAAATCTGAATATTCACCAAGAGTTTTTAATTTAAACGATTCCCATACTTGACAAGCATGTTGATAATCTTCTTGAGAGATATTTGCATCATTTAATTTTGAATAAAAAGAATCTTTAGATGGTAATTGTAGTTCCTCCAATTTTTCCCAAGAATTTATATATTCATACGGAAAAACCCCTTTCCTTGTTAATAAATTAAATTCAATTAAGTTATTACAAAATCTTTTAGTAATTACTTTGCTTTCATTTTTGAGAAATAATGCTAATTTCTGTAAACTACTAGGCATGAATCGATAAGAATCTAAAAATCTAAAACCAATGTCTTTTTTGTTCACATACTTTGTAAAGGATATATATTTTTCTTTATTGATAGGTAAAACTTTTAATATTCCAGGGAAACTGGTTGCTAATTCTTTAATAAAAAAATGAGAATCATATCCACTTAACCCCTTAACTGCCGGGTGGAAAACACTAAATGTGCCCAGAATGCCAAAAATAAAAAATTGTCCAATTTGTCTGAAACTTGTTACTCAGGGGTATTCGGGGTCGCTGATTACGGATCTGATGTCAGTATTTCAAAATTCAAAATGGCGGATCCAATATGGCGGACGGCTTTTGAAAAATGAATCCAAATTACCTGAAATTTGTTACTCGGGGGTTTTCGAGGTCGCTGATTACGAATATAATGATGGTTTTTTAAAATTCAAAATGGCGGATACAATATCAGCGACCTCGAAAACCCCCGAGCAACAAATTTCAGGTAAATTGGATCAATTTTTGCTTCCTCATAAGGAAGCTTTGCATTCGTGACGATTTTCAATTTTTCAAAAGAAGGTTATATGGACTCATTTTCATCTAAAACATATGTATATTCAATTCTGAGCAAATGTCCAGATGTATGTGTGTATGTGTGTGTGTGTGTATGTCACAAAAATTGTGTACAAATTATCTCAGACAAATTTTGATGGATTGTCCTGAAATTTTGCAGGTTTATTGCAGTCATTAATACCTAAAATCTGACACAAGGATTTTCAAAAATATCCACAAAATTTTTTTTATACAATTTTTTTAAAATTCAGAAAAAATTTTTTTTTGTATTTTTTGAAATAATTTTTTTATTTGTTAATATTGTCGACAGTATGAAGCATGAGTGTGTATTGTAAAGAGTGGGGAAGAGTTCACAGTCCTTAAAAACTAAAGCATAAGCAGGTGTGGTTAGATTAATTAGTCGCTACTCAAAGTGATAGCACGTTTGTCTTCCAATAAGGCTCAGTGAAGAATTGGAAGGATTGATTATCTCCAAGTTTTTGTACTTTTACTTGTTAAATAAATAAAGTAGAGTTGGCTCTTAGTTGAGTAACCAACTCACCAAAAATAATAATATTAGTTGTTTCTTACGGCGACAACATAATGGTGTCAGCGCTAGGATATTCAAAAATTTTTGGAAGTTTATCCAGATTTTGAGTATCCAGAACCCAGAGTTAGTTCCAGATAATCAAAGTGATTATCTAAAGTGAACGAGAAAGTAAAGAAAAAGCAGAGGTCTACAGAGTGATATCCAGAGTTATCCAGATCTACAAAGAGGTATCCAGAGAGTTATCCTGATCTACAGAGAGTTATCCAGAGTTATCAAGATCTACAGAGGTATCCAGAGAGATATCTAGAGAGTTATCCAAATCTACGAAGCAGAGTTCGAGATTATCCAGAACTACGATCCAGACCAACAGTAAGGTATATAAAAGAAAATTACGAATGTTTAGAACAAGAGTATAAGTCCACTTTACGTACGTTGAACGGCGACCTTCATAGGGTGTGGCTAAGTTTGTTTTAAAGCGTTGGTATACTCCGTGACTTTATGAGTATTGCCATCGACAATAAACTAAAAAAACGAATTTCATATTCTTGTGTACTCCTTGTAGCAGGATTGCAAGAAATGAAATTTCAAATTAGAAAACGCGAACGAATATAAAATAAAAATTGTACGAAACGATATAGAAAATTTATGATATTAAACTGGATTTAAATTCATATAGAGAAAGTAGGGAAAACGAAACAATAGACACAGACAGTTCATCCCTTTCAATATCACTGAATGACAGACTAAAATTAGACAATATTCTAAACATCATGCCAGAAACATCAAGTGCTTCAAATGACCATTTGCAAAATATTCTTGCAAAAATGGAAAGATTCGAAACGAGATTAGTACCTATGGAACAACCAGTTAGAAGAGAGGAAGGTTTACCCTTAAATGAAAACGAATTAAACAGCGATCACGAAGAATTAGAAGAAGTTACAGAATATGATTTTGGGAAAAGCATAAAATTAGTACCAGAATTTAACGGAAACGGTTTAGAAAATTTCATTCATCTAATAAAATTATTTAAAAGAAAAATGAAAAGAAATGAAAGACTGACATTACTACATGCAATAATTGCACAAAAATTAGTAGGAATAGCCGCAAATACAATTAGAGCAGATGCAGTTAAAACATATGCCGATTTTTTTGAGAGATTACGAATTTTATTTGGAGTAAAAGATAGTTTAGAATCACTTCAAAGGGCTCGCGATTCATGTATAATGGGCAAAAATGAAGGTTTAGAATCATTCACCTCAAGATTTATTCAGTGTCAGGATAAAATCAGGCAGTCTATAGATAGTATGAATATAACACCTCAAGAAACTTTCGTAAGACAGGAAATAGAAACAAATGCAAGTGTCAGCACATTCTTAAGAAATATACGTGAAGAATTTGAAATTAGAATCCGTCCTCAGAAACCGAAAACGCTGAATGAATGTTTTAATATTGCCTCAGAAATTAACGTGAATTTGAAAGATAAAAGAAGAATTGACAATTTTACCAGAAACCCAAGAAATGAAAACCCAGTACCAAGACCAAGATTTAGCAAACCGAGAAATTTAGAAAAATGCAACCATTGTAAAAATTTGGGACATACAGAGGATGTTTGTAGAGGAAAATTAAAAGGTTTACCACCACGTCAAGAAAAAACTCTGAATTTTCAGTCACGAACAATCAACACCAAACCACCAGACCGAGTGCAGCTAAGCGAAGAATTTTCTTTATCGGAGAACCCGTTAAGCACGACTTTCCACCGATACCAAGAGAACGAAGAAGACACGACACACCTATTGTGGCTTTAACCCATTAACGTCCAAGTGGACAGAAAATTGCCATTGACTTTGAGCAGTCAGCTTTGTATGAAAATGACATGAGAAAAAATTTGTATATAACATTTCCGATGTAAAATTTATCGCTCTTACAGCTACTGTTGTTGGAATTTGTTTATAACAAAGAGAGAAAAAGTTATAAACAATTTTTTCCAAAAAAACACGATTTTTCGGGAAAAAAATTTCTTTTAGATTATATTTTTACTGGGAAAAAGTAAGGGCATTCTCTTAAAAGCTCCAAATAAGTTGTCCATGGACCCTCAGCAATAAAATCCTAAAGCGACTGATTTTTTTTTCAAGATGGCGGACGCCAATATGGCTGCTAATTTTTAAAAAATGGTCCAAAAATACAACATAATGCAAAAATTTTTGAAAATAGATAAAATCGGCTGAAAATTGTTACTCGGAGGTTTTCGGGGTCGCTGATTACAAATCTGATGTTAGTTTTTGAAAATTCAAAATGGCGGATCCAATATGGCGGACACTTTTTTGAAAAATTCACCAGATTCGCTTGAAATTTGTTACACGGGGGTTTTTGAAGTCGCCGATTACGAATCTGATGTTAGTTTTTGAAATTCTAAAATGGCGCATCCAATATGGCGGACAAATTTTTTTATAATTCATCGAGTTCATTTGTAATTCGCCACTCGGGGGTTTTTGGGGTCACTCATTACGAATTTAAGGTCATTTAAAAAAATTTTTTAATTGGATTAGTAATAATTTATATTGAATGTAATGTAACAGTGTCAAAATTTTCTTAGTCTTCAATTTATTATTTTTATTGCTTCAATAATGTTTGTCCGTTAGCCACCGAATGTTTCGACGTTGTCCGACTCTTACCGCGGGGAGGTGGACTTTTCAGAGTCATATTTTTTTTTAGTTTTTTAATTTTTAATTTTTTTGTATTTTTTTGGAATGTTTTTTTTATTTATTTTTTTTGTATTTTTTTTTAATTTTTAATTTTTTTTGTATTTTTTTGGAATGTTTTTTATATTTTTTTTTTCATTTTTTATTTTTTAGGAGTGGAGAGCATCCAATCATGAAACACATACATACACATTGCACTTGACGCACATTTTCTGTATCCTAGCACCACACTTTGAGAAATTGAAGCAATAAAATTTTTTCTTAACTCGTTCAATTGTGTGACATTTGACTTTTCCTGCACTGGACTTTTTTAAATATGTCTCAGCAATTTCTAAACCAATATCTTTGGTACCAATCTTCTTGTCTTTAGTCACCAAATTTTTTAAGACGGTAGCATTTGTTATTGATGCTTGAATAAGTCGCAACCATATAACCCAAGTATACTTTTTTGATCTTATGCAGGACATCAAATTGCTACAATGTGCGTCATGCAAATCAACTCCGCCCATAAACTTATTATACTGAGTAATAGCGTTGGGGAATGAAATATCAATCTTGCGTTTTTCTTCTGAAGAATATCTACGAACAGAAGACATTGGTGTAACTCCTGCCAATGTTGAGAGAATGGAAACTTGCTTCGAGTCTTTTACTGTGATATAATTAACACCACTATTTTTCTCATGTTTGGCAATAAATGTGCCTCTTACAGCTTTATTGCTAATTGTACTTTTCTCTTGCATTCTGTTTGCTCTGACTGTCCCTGTTGCTCTTAAACCTACATTCTTCAGATGAACCAGCAAATCGGAACTAGTAAAGAAGTTATCGAAGTACAAATGATATTTCACAATGTTTCTGGGTACAACTGAAGAAAGTAGGTTTTGAAGTAGTCCAAGGACAACGCAGCTTCCTAAGGCACATTTATCTAGCTTTTCTTCATTGCCAAAGAAAGATCTTTTGGAGTTAGTAAATGTCGCAATCAAACACGTATCCTTCAGGACTACAAAGCGCCCACATTTTAATGCCATAACGCACAGGCTTACTTGGAATGAATTGTCTGAAAACAGTTTTGCCGCGAAACTTCACCATCATTTCGTCAATTGACAAAGCTGTGGAAAAATAGCCAAATTGTTTTACGTTTTTTAAAAAGTTTTCTAAAGGACCTCTTACTCTCCAAGCTCTGTCATTGGAATTTTCGTCTTCAGGTTTAGATAACTTCAGGTGTGACTTGATCTTTTCAAACTCTAAACGATTCATAGCTTCAGTTATAGCTTCACATCTCAAAAGATGATTTTGAGACCAATAATCCCTTTGAGATTTTCTTTGAGTGAAAATGGACAAAATAATTATCCCTAGAAAAGTATCGAATTCAGTCATCGTAATATCACAACCATTCAACCTTGTTGCTTCCACGATATATTCTTTCAACTCCTTAGAAAAGAAATATTCAAAAGACTCCGTTGAAGATGCAGATCGTATTTTCTTTTCAACACTGAGAGGCAGAAGTGTTTCATTTTTATATTGATAATCGTATTTCATTTCACCATCAACCCATTCAAAAACATGATCAGGTTCCAACTTCAACTGATTTGGTGTGTAATTGTCGCGGATTGTTCGATACGAATTTTGTAGGATATCATTCCCTTCATTATAAATTGAATTTAATAGCTCTTCATCGATAGCATCATTTTCGGAATCCGATTCACATTCGGATTCGTCAGAATCATTCGAATCTGGAACCACAATCACATTTATATGTTCATCATGTTCATCAATCTCGAAATTATCTGTTTCATCAGAAACTTTTTGACGTTTTGCCTTGCGCTTACTTGACATCTTTTCAGAAGAAAACAAATTTTTTTAAAAATAAAGATAAAAGTCGATAATTTAATAGTCAAAAATTCAAAAATTTATTTTTCCTAAATAACACTTACCTGCGCTACTATAGTAAATTATGCAACAATAAGAAGCATCTATTTTTAGTCAATTCACAATAAGATCAAGAATCGGTAATTCAAAAGTCAAAGATTCAAAAATCTATGCTTGAAAAATTTTTTCTAAATAACACTTACCTGCGATGCTAGTGAATTGCACAATAATAAGAAACTGTTTTACCGGTAATACTGAGTGGTTGTGTTGTATATCGCTCATTGTAATTTTTAAATCTTCATATATTTTCTAATAGTTTTTTCAAGTTTTTAGTAATAAAAATATTAGCTTATTTTTCATTGATTTGGTGAGTGTGTTTTCTTTGACTTTTTCGGACGTTTTTGACTTTTTACTGCAAAAGTTCATTTTTGTGAAAATTAACCATGCCGCTTTGTACAGAGTGTAATCAGAGTGTTTCTAGAACTGTAGGAGACACTCTAACTTGTTTGAAGTGTAGTGGATTGGTACATAGTGCCTGTGTCAATGTAAATATCTCCAAAAAGGAGTTTGAGCGTTTGAAAAAAGGTTTAACTAATTATTTTTGTGTTAAATGCAAAAAAGACAGTGACACCTCTCGTACCTCCGGCGAATCTCCTTCTCAGTTTAGTTCTATGTCGGTTACCACTTCGCCTACTAACGAGTTGTCTGATAATTGCTTGAGTGCTATTCGTGATGCAGTTCAACAGGGGCAAAAAGATCAACGTGATTTACTGATAGATTTTAAGAAGCAAATGTCAGATATGTTTCTAGCTTTCAAAACTGAGCAGCTCGAATTTAATAAAAATTGTTTTGCAACTATTTCTAATTTGAAAGAGGACATTAACAAAAATTCGGAAAAAATTAGTTGCATAGAGATTGATTCTGCTGACAGGTCTAATTCCTTGAAAGCTGCAAAAATCGAATCTGAATGCCTGAGAAATAGAGTTGATCAATTGGAGTGTAGCCTTAATATGCATGAGCAACATTCTCTTGCCTCAACATTAGAAGTGCATGGTTTACCAGTTAATAAAGATGAAAACCTGAAGCAATGTTTTGTCAATATTGCCAAGAGTCTCAATGTTTCCATTGAAAATAAAAATATCCTTAACATATTTCGGATTCACAAAAAAAATGACACTATCACACACAAGTTTCCACCAATTATTATTGTCAAATTATCTGATCAACATCTAAGAGACAAAATAATCAATGAACGTAAAATTTTCAAAAATTTTTCATCAATCAACATTGGGTGGCCTGAAGAGGAGAAATGTTCTATCTACATTCGAGAATCATTAACACCGCTAAACCGTCAAATTTATTCTGCAGCATTGTCTCTTAAAAGAGATAATAAGATAAAATATTTATGGGTTTCTGGTGGTAAAATCTTTGGTCGCAAAGCGGATGGAGAACGTAGATTCCAGATGACTTCAATCGAGGCTGTCAACAGTTGAAAATAGCTATATTTTCAAAGGTTATAAGATCAATTTTTTCAAATTTAATTTTTCTAATTTTGATTATATATCACTTTGTACAGTGTTATTCTTCAATTTTCAAAGATATTATTTCTTTTGTTTATTTAGCTTCGTGAACTTTAAATTATTTTTAAAAAAATGTTTTTCTTATATTTCATTCTGGTTTTTCTTGATAAAGTTTGTTTCACTGACGCTATATCTTAGTTTGTCTACTTTTTCTACTCATAGATTGTATTTCTTTAAATTAAGCAAAGTAAAAGTTAAAACTTGTTATTACCCTTATGTTTACGAACATCTTCTTAAGTTTGTTATAGTTTTTTTTTGCATTTTGCTTTTCAAGAGTTTATTCATTGATTCATTGATTGATTTATTGATAAAAATTATTTACTTCATATATTTTTTGTTGTTTGGGGTGGTTATTGCCTATAAATGGTTGTCAGTTTTATTACTAATTTTCAATTATAACGGAGACCTTGAATTTGTGCCACGTTAATGCTCAATCTTTGCGTGCTCATTTTCTAGAATTTAGAGATTTTTTTAATACTGGTTTTTATGATGTCAATGCTGTTTCTGAAACTTGGCTCTCAGTTAATATTTCATCTAGTCTTGTGGAATTGGATGATTATAATTTGTTTCGTAACGATAGAGTTACGCGTAGGGGTGGTGGAGTTTGCCTATATATACGTAAAACATTAAGATGTTCTGCCATTGCTATGAGCACTGAGAACTCATATCCTACTGCAGAATTTTTATTTCTTAATTTACAATCCTCATGTGACAATGCATTGGTTGGAGTGGTTTATAGGCCTCCGAGTGCTTCCTTCGGAAACGAATTGGAGAACCAAATTTTTTCATCTGTTCAGTTGTTTAATAATATCATAATAATGGGGGATTTCAATTGCAATTTTAATTCTAATTCACCTGTTACTAACTATTTCACTTCAATGATTTATTCTGCTGGTTTGTCTATAGTCCCTCACAATTCTACACATCACTCTAATAACACCAGTACTAGAATAGATGTAATGACTGTTGACAACTTAGACAAAATTTGTTCATTTAGTCAGCATTCAGTAAGTTTCTTGTCTAATCATGATTTGATATGTGCTGAATTTAAATTTGATGGAAATTTATCCCAGGTAATTAATAGATCTTCCTTTGTTCGTTGTTTAAATCAAATTCCTGAAACAGAGTTCATTACTCATCTATCTAAGTTCGATTGGAATAGTATATACTCTACACCCGATATTAACGTTAAAGTTTATAAGTTAACTCTTTACTTAACTTCGGCCTTTGATTATTTTGCTCCTCTACATTCAATTACTATTAGAAAAAAGTCTTCGCCTTGGATGACAGATGAAATTAGAGCGCTTATCAAGGAAAGAAATAGACTTCGTAGAATATCTAAAAGAACTAAAAATATTATTGATTTATTGAATTTCAGAAGGAGTCGAAATTTGGTTCATACCAGGATTAGAGATGCTCATAACAAATATAATTTTGACTGTATTAGAAATAACAGTAAGTCAGATAACATTTGGCATATATTGAAAAAACTTAATCTTATACCTCATAGAAGCAACTCGGAGGCTTGCAAATTTCATGCAAGTGATTATTTATCTTTTTTCTCTCACCCTTCTCCTCCTACTCCTACGTCTTTAAATACGAATCTCCCAATTATTTCTCATATTTTTGATGAAAATGAATTTTTCTTTTCAGATATTTCTCCTGAATTACTTCTTTCAACTATAAATAGTATTAAAACTAATGCAATAGGTCCTGATCTTATTTCTATTAAAATGTTAAAACTAGCTCAACCTATTATATTTCCAGTTCTACTGCATATCTATAACTACTCACTTCAAACAGGTAGTTTTCCTGAAATATGGAAAACAAGTAATATCCGTCCTAATCCTAAGGTATCGTGTCCAAAAAGAGTTGAAGATTTCAGACCGATCTCCATTATTTGTACACTAGCTAAACCTTTGGAAAAAATTGCATGCCAACAATTCACCACCTTCTTAATTAATAATAATTTGTTAGAAACTTTACAATCTGGTTTTCGTAGTAAACATAGCACAAGCACAGCAGTAGTAAAGTTTACTTCCGATGTCAAACTTGCAATGGATAAAAATTTTATTACTTTAGTAGTATTTTTCGATTTTTCTAAAGCATTTCCTTCTGTTAATCATGAGCTACACAAGCTTCGTTCTTTTAATATATCAAATTCGGTTCGTGATTGGTTTAAATCATATTTAGGTTTTAGATTTCAGAGAGTGGTTAACGGGAACGAGGAATTGTCAGAGTGGGATAGATTAAAGTGTGGTGTTCCGCAAGGGACATTGCTCTCCTCTTTGCTCTTCAACTTATTTGTTGCTGATCTGGGTGTAGGGCTGAAATACTGTAAATATCATAAATATGCGGATGATTTTAAATTTTATTTATCAGGTCCTTTATCATCATTGTTGGACATGCTTAAAATGGTGCAATGTGATATTAATTACGTTGAACAATGGTCTGTTAATAATGGGATTGCTCTCAATTTTAGTAAAACCCAGGCTATGATAATCTCGGCATCTGGCGGACCTTCTATTGGCTTTTTAGAAACTCTTCCTCCTCTGTTACTTGGAGGTATTCCCATTATATATAAGGAAACAGTAAAAGATCTCGGCTTGATAGTTGATCGATCATTATCGTGGAGAGAACACGTATATGGAATTTCACGAAAAACCTTTATGATATTACAGCAATTGAATCGAAGCAGAAATTCTCTTCCAATTCCTACAAGACTACTTTTGGTTAAATCACTTATTCTTCCGTTTTTTGATTATTGTTGCGTTGTTTATGATGATATCAGCGGTGATTTGAATGATAAATTGGAAAGATCTCTAAATGCGTGTATTCGTTTTATTTATGATTTACCTAAATTTGAGCATATTTCTCAGTATCGAATAAAGTCCGGTTTGCTAAATGTTGCAACTAGGAGACAGTTTTTTATGGGCAATCTACTTTATACGATTTTTAATACTAAGGTCCCAATTTATTTATATGATTTTTTTGAATTTAGAGATCCTAATGAATCATCCCAGGTCAGGCTTCGAAATAGAAAAACCGTTTTAAAAATTCCATCGCATAGAACATGTAGAGTACAAAAATCTTTCATTATAAGAGGTGCAAGATTATGGAATAAATTAACGCCTAACATTAGAGATGCACCTTCACAACTTACCTTTAAAAGATTATTTTTTGATTTTCTGTTTAGAAATAATAACAAAGTTTTTGATATAACTTACTGGTAATATATACATGTATTTATTTTTTCCTTTTCAAATATAATATTTTGTTTAGTTTCAAATATTTTATAAAATATAAATTTAACGTTCTATTTTTAAAATTATATATATATTTTATATTGTTATGTTTTTTTTCTTATTTTTTGAATGTAGTTTATACAGATGTATATATTGTATGAATGTGCATTCGTTAACAGGTATTATGTATATATAGTATATATGGATTTTTGCGGGTTATGTGTGATTATTCCTCAGTATCAACACTTCCTCA